AATAATGTATATTCCCTTTCACTGATGGCTCCATTTCAACACATTTACCCTAAGAAAATAATCACAGCTGTACACAAACATTTACATAAAGGAAGTTTGGCACAGTGTTTATTGTAACAAGTTAGGAAACAACTTGAAGATTAACAACAGAAGTCAACTGGTTAAATAAATCATAATGCATTAATACTTTATAAATAATAATAACGATAGCAATGATTATTTATGTACACTTATGACTTACTATATAAGCTTTGCATATTTAATGGATTTAATCCTCACAATAAACCTATGAAGCAGGCATTATTATTGCCCCCCTTTGATAAATGAGAAAACTGAAGCAAAGGAGAGGAAATAACTTGCCCAAGCTACTAAGAGGCACACCATGGGTTTGATCCCAGGAAGTCTGGCTCTAAAGTTCACTATTCTGTGCTGCCTTCATGTAGCTCTAAGTGACAAAATATTATGCCGCCACTTAGAAACAAGTTAAAGAACAGTTAATAACACAGGCAAATGGTCAGACGAGCTAAGTGAAAAAAGCAAGATACAAAATTCACACGGTAGTACAAAAGTCACAAAATATGATCCTGATTCTATTTTAGTAAAGTATACATATATACACATGTGGACATTTTAAAAGACTGGATGAAATCTATTACAAAATATTAATAGTGCACATCTCTGAGTTATGAGATTACAGATGACTTAATTTTCTTCATTACATTTTCCAGTATTTGTAAACTTGCATTTCTGTTATAAGGATGGCAAAAGCACATTCTAATTTTATCAAAAAAGAAATATAAATAAAATATATCCCCTAAACCTCTTAACATTTTTTCCTTCTAGATATAATTAAGCATTTTTATTATTTCAATAAACATGTTACTTTCATTTATATATACTTTGTTGCTCCTCACCCCCCAAAAAGGATCAAAAACAGACTTTAGTATTTTTTTGTACTCAAAATCAATAAAGAACAAGACCAAGGTTGTTGCGGAAAGAATATGGCTTTTCTTGTTCAGATGAATAATCTATCATAATGTAAGAAACTGAAGTATAAACTCCAAGGTCCCTTACAGTCCTCTGACTCTGTATTCATAATAACAAGGAAAAGTGCTTACAACATAGCCCAAAGGTCAGAGTCAGATAGAAAATCATTTTTAACAAGAAGACTAAGGGTCTCATAAAAATCACTAAAAGTATTATGGATCATCTGAGTCTGCTTTTTAAAGTAAAACATTTAAAAGCTTTCAAATTGTTTTTCTGCTTAATAAGGCATAGCTGCCATAAACTGCTTAATAAGAAAGGCACAGAGTATTGCCAGGTCCCTTCAAGTCTGCACCTAGAGCCAACAAGTAAAGCAGATGATCTCAAAGCATGCCTCCTCCATCAATCCTTGTCTAGTAGTGAAACAGAAGAAAGCCTTAGGAAAAAATCAACAAGCATCACTTTGTAAACCTCTAGTACATCAATCAAACTCAGAAAGTCTTAAATTAATAAAAGAAACACTACCTACGATATTTATATATTTTATAATTATATCTTGATAAATATAAAACTCCTTTGCCCTTGTTTCTTGTCTACACTTTAACAGTCATGTTAAATTTTTTCACATAAAGATATAATAATTTTATATATACTTTGTCAAAGCATATCCTCACCACTGACCACCACTAATTTCATATGCAGGAAAAAAAAAAAACAGGCAAATTTTCTAGTCTTCTTATATTGATCATTTAATTTGAGATGTTGTGTTATACATTAAGGGTCTAACTATAAACTATAATGTCATGCTTCATCATTGCATCAATTTATTAGTCTTACAGAAGCTAGGATTAACTAAAGACTGAGAATTACCAATTTTAAAGAAAAGATTGGCAGATATCTGGGCACAATTTGCTTTATTTGGCATTATTGTGGCTTAATTCAGAAAATAGTATAAAATTAACAATAGCTAGTCCAATACAAGACTGATCAGAAGAAGATTAGCCTTTAAGATGTGGTCTTTAAAATAAAGGGCAATATAGTCCATCAAAAATTTTGAGAAATTCTAATAGAAATTTCCATTTCCAAGACGCTAACTTCAAACCTCATCCATAACATATACCATTTGAACCTTTTTTAAACTAGGTTTGTACGGGAATGAAAGCTATAAATAAGAAAAGAAACATCAAGTTTTCCCATTTAAATTATACACTTATAATTCAGTTTCTAAAATTAATTATGATTAACAATTATGCTTGCTGAGGACAGATTATGCAAATGCTTTTTCCTCTGCTGAACAAGTTACTAATAAAATCTTTATACAGCCGGGCTCGGTGGCTCAGTCTGTAATCCCACGCCTTTGGGAGGCTGAGGTGAGTGGATTGCCTGAGCCCGCGGGTTCGAGACCCACCTGGGCAGCGAGACCTCATCTCCACAATAAATAAATAAAAAAAAATCAGCCGGGCGTGGTAGCGCTTGCCTGTAATTCCGGCTACTTGGAAGGCTGAGGCGGAAGGATCGCCAGAGCCCAGCAGGTCGAGGCTGCGGTGGCCGGGAGCGGCCACTGCACTCCAGTCTGGGCGACAGAGTGAGACTCCAACTCAAAAAAAAAAAAAAAATCTTTATAATACTACAGTCATTGAATTTTTCAATGATGTCTAATGTTACCTGGTAATCTTAAAATGCTACAGAGAAATTAGGATTCTCAGAGTTTAGTAAAGGAAATGGATATGGCTGTCTATTATGACACCACGAAATAAGACGTAGAAAACACAGCTTGGGAAAAACTAGGCTTGGAATGCAACAATGCCTGACTGAGAGTTTGCTTTACTCCAACAATATGTGTGCAAATACAAATATAAGATGCACTCAAACATACATATATGAATGCACATGTAAGTGTGAGTGTATATATATGTATATGTGTATACATGTATGTATGTTTTATATAAATATATTATGCATATGCATATATCTTCACATGTAAAAATTGGCTAAAAATTTTTAATAGAAGAAGCTAAATTTGGAAGGAAGCAATCCTTTGTAATTATTCTATGCTTTTAGGGAATATCATGGCTATCTTGAACATATATGAGTATACAGTACTCACACTCATTCACACAATTTCTTACCACTGCTAATTAAAATATTCTAACTTCTCTATCCAATTCCTTTAAGTTCAGTTGAAGTTCATTTTCAGCATCTTTTTTAGCCAACTTTATGGAACAGGTATATACTTTCCACGGATTGCCTGTTTTGTGCTAATTATTACCAAACATTCCATTTGGCAGCATTTAGCTACTACAGGCTAAGAACTGGCTAAAGGCAGTTAACACAAAAATAAAATCCAAATTTCAAGAGAATATCCCAAATATGCACCAATGGATGCTAAAAATCACCTTCAATTAGAAGAGGCTTTTTACTTTCATAGCTGGCAAAACAGTTGATACATGAAAATTTTCAATAATCTGCATGTGGCTTTATGAAGAGGTTTTACGATTAAAGCTTATTTTGCAACTTTCGGGGGTAAACTAAAAATTTTTATGGAGGAAAATAATCTGTTTTATTTTATGCTTGTTCTGATAAACGACTAAAAACCTGAAGTGGATCAAACGAAGCCTTTTATTTTAGCTAGTGTACTACCATAAAGCCAGTGGACAATGAGATGATGACTATACTTTTTTTATTCACAAATTCACAAATCCCCTGTCCACAGAAACTCTGGGTTAAGTGAAGAGAGATAGCAATATAAAGTTATTATATTACTTAATATATCTGCAACTAAAAAATATCGCTTGCAACCAAAACAAGTAGCTAAATTGAAGTTTACCTTATTCTCCCTCAAGCACCCTCCTTATACATTCTCTTTCCTCTCCAAATTACAAACTCAAAAGCAAAAAAATTCGAAATTTAAAATAAAAATGTTTTATTGCCTTCCCATTTGACTTAGAAATCACCATGCATTCTAATGTTATGTCTTAGATTACCATCTTTAAGTTTCTATAAAATTTCTAAAAGATGATTATTTTCATAAATATGCATACATACTTATTAATACTCCTCTGTAACTAAGAATTTTTATAAAACAGAAAGAGTCAATGAATAAAACAAATAAAGTTTTCTTAAATCTAATTTGGGCACCTTACATCTCATATCCTTCTAGTTAAAGGATTACCTGGATTACCACCTTTATAAACGAACAGCAGTTAAAAATGGATAAACAAAATCACAATGAGTAAATGCTTTCAAGTGAGTATTTCTGAATAACAAGATTTTCTTCCTTACATTTACTTAAATCATTATTAATCTGCACTCTGAGCACAAGAAAGCTGGCTATAAAGGGACACAGAAACCAAAGTAATATAAAACACCATTCTTAACTAACATGTAAGGCAGAGATGTGAATGGCTACATGTCACGGAAACTTTAAAAAATGCCACACCTCTGAGAACTATTTAACAATTTATATGTATATTTACAGATATAGTGACAAGAAAAAGTCACTTTATAAAGTTATTATCTGATAGCAGTACAGAGCCACGATATGCTCAGAGCACTGTTTTCTAAATTATAGTACATCCTACCACAGGTGGGGAACACATCGTGAAATACAGAACACCTGAGAGATTCTATAGTGACAGACTATTAGAAAGCATATTTTCCCCCTCCTTTGCACACTCAAAGAATTTAAAGAAATTAGGGTTTAGTAAGAATCGTTTTAGAAAATCAACATTTTCCCACATGGTACAAACATTTAAGAGAACACTCAAGTGTGGACATCATTATCTCTTTGACTACCTATTAATAGTGGACACACCCAAGAGAAAATGTAACAAAAGAGTGGAGAAAAACAGAAAATGAAAAGGCAAATGTCACATTTTCCCAGCACACATGGCAAGACCTGAAAGTGCCCCACCACAGAGCCCCAGAATGAAGTTAACCTCGAGGCAGACTCCCAATCACTGAATCCATTACCTGCCACGTTAGCTATTTACACAAGATTACAAAGGCCTGCATACCAAGTTCATCGTGCAGACTGCTGTCTCCTACAGCAGACGCATTGTCATGTGAGGCTTCTAGGCGGACACTCCCATTTCTCACCAGCAAGGAGGCACTAGCACTGAGCACTGGAGCCTGGGGAGGGGGGCGGGCCTGCACTCTGACCTGGGCTGTGCACTGCTGACCTTGCTGACCATCTTGAAGGCTAGGAAAAAACATGGATTGGGGAGACATTACAGGGAAGAAGAGAGAAAACAACAGCTAGAATGAAGTCAATATAGAAAACTGATTTCAACATCCCCTAAGAGACAGCCAACAATCTTTGTAAAATATGCAGATTACACATTACTGATTTAAATCTCCTGTTCCTTATAAACTTGATTCATAGAGATGAAGGCAGTAAACATTTACTGTAACTTTGATTTAATTTCAATTACATTAACATAAATTGATCAATCTGTGACTTTTTTCTACCTCACACCCACTAAATTCTAGAGTAAGGAAAAAGAAAGCAGCAAAAAAGAACGGTAAGTTTTCAATGTGTGTGTTGTAGCTGGTCCCAATAGATGAACCTTGTTTTTCATTTAAAGATGCACTTGTATTCATAGCCTCGTAATAATTCTAGAACTGTTCTTTCAAATATTCTGGGATCTCAAATTCATAATAAAACAAAGTTTCTATGCAATTAAAAACCAAAGAATCTTTACCAAACACAACCAAAATGACAATCTTGAATTTTCAAAAAATCACAAACTAGTGTAAGAAAACCAGAATAACTGACTTAATCAAGTGAGATACAAATGATCATGGGAGGGAGACAGAAGCAGAATTAGTATGAAGTGCCATCTATAAAAGCCTACATATTGCTGCAATAAGGCCACATGCTTTATATATGTTAGCTAACACTTATGCTCCCTTAGCAAGTATTGCCATTTCCTTTTCCAGTTCTTATTATATTCTCATTAACAAGGATCCATCATTTTAGAGAATCTTAAAAATAATCAGGAAACCAGTAATTTCTCAAAGAATATTACAGTCTTATTAAAATTTGATAAAGTTTTTAAATACTTGGTATTCTGCTATAATAAATTTACTTATTAAAATTTGTAATGAAAATTATCTAAATTAAGAAACTATATTATTTCTTAATTCACTGATATTTTCATATCTTTACGATACTATGAATTTTAATGTTCCTTAGAATATTTAGTCAAATTTAAATCAACAAAACTCATGAAAACATTTTGAGTATAATTATATCATTCCACATGATGTTCAATGAACTCTGCATTCTCTCCATTTAAGTTTACTGTGAACAATCCCAGAGTCTGTAATGAAAATTATTAGACCTGCAGAACAAAAACAAGAATGCTACTTGGGATGGCTATATTCAGCTACTTGATCATTTTTCATGAATATCAACTTCTCTCTAAACCTTTGAATTCAATGTAATGGTTTCTCTGGTACCATTACAGTCTGCTGCAGACTGACCACGAAGTAAAAGGCTAAGTAGAAAATACTAATAATATATTGTATAAGCCTGTGATTATGGCAGTAGAACACACTCTGGAACTACGCTGTCCAATAGCGTAGCCTGTGACATTCAAATTAATTAAAACTTTCGTTCCTGGGTCATGCTAACATTTTAAGTGCTCAGTAACCACATAACACAGCTAATGACTACCACAGTTAATAGCTACCAAAGTGGGCAGTGGCGAGCAGTTAGTGTCTACCATATTGCACAGGGCATATTATAGAACAGTTCCATGATTCCAGAAAATTATATTAGCCAGCACTACCTGAAACATTTATTTTTCAGGCTTCCTTTAGAGCCACTGAAAAGTACACATTCTAAGCAGAGCATGGCCCTTCACAAACACATGAAAAAACTGAGTCGGCAAAAGGTTGATCTACCAATCCTTACTGGTATTGCTTTCTTAAGCCATAACTACAAAAGTATTTACTTAACACCTTCTTCAGACTAGAATCTTTGTACAATAGATATAAGTCAAGACATCATCTTGGAAACTAATAAAATCAGATAAGTTTTTATCTTCCATATATAATTTATCTGTCACTCTTCCTTAGACTCCACCTAAACTTACTTACACACACACCTTAACAAATTTCACAACAGAGAAAACAGTGAGGAAAAAAATGTTTCAGTAGTTTAAAGTATTGTGTCCCTTTAGATTCAGAACATAGTAGAATTTTTTAGAATATGCACTCAACAAGTTTTTCTATCAATGTTTTAACTTAAATTTATAAGCAAAGTTGCTATATGGCAGGTGGATGTGGTTTTATGTGAATATATTTAAGAATATACTAATCTTCAATATAGAGATGCACAATGTATATCCAAATATATAAAAACTGTTTTTTGCTGGGCTCGGTGGCTCAGCCTGTAATTCCACGCTTTGGGAGGCTGAGGTGAGTGGATTGCCTGAGCCCGCAGGTTTGAGACCCGCCTAGGGAACTTGGCGAGACCTCATCTCTACAATAAATCAAAAAATTAGCTGGGTGTGGTAGCGTGCGCCTGTAGTTCCAGCTACTTGGAAGGCTGAGGCAGAAGGATCGCCGAAGCCCAGCAGGTGGAGGCTGCGGTGGCCGGGAGCGGCCACTGCAGTCCACTCTGGGCGACAGAGTGAGACTCCAACTCAAAAAAAAAAAAGTTTTTTTTAAAAAATATTAGACAAATAATGAAAATAAACTCCAGAATTTAAAAAAAAGGAAATTAGTCAAAATCAATGTGATTTTAATGTTCAAAATGTCAAGTTTCTGAACATCAAAGGCCAGTAATAAAAAGTTTATGTTCCTTGAATTCCTATTTTCTAAATCCTTCAACAACAACAATAAAAGCCTGCCAGGCCATAAAGAAGGACAAAACTATGAACTTCACAGCAGCTTGGATGGATTTACTGTCTGTAATACTCAGTGATTTATCACAGAAACAAAGAACTGAGTACCACATGTTCTCACTCACAAGCAGACCCAGAACAATTATCATAATACTATGAGAAAGGGATTGGCAGTAGTGGGAAACTGCCAGGGGAGGAAGTGGTGAGGCATGCTTCCTCAATAAGCGTACCCGATCTCAAACTAGGTGATGTGGGGACCAAGGTGAGGTCCAAACTTTACCTATACAATAACCATTTGTATACCTAACCATTTGTACCCCACGTCTTTAAAATAAACATGTTTTAAAAAGAGAATAAGACATATGTCTCAACTTTCACCTTAAAAAAAAAGTCTGCCATTTTTGCATAAATTGTTAGAAAACATATTCCTAGAGGACTGCACTTCAATTTAAACTAATAACTGGCATGAGTAAATCTTTTTTACAGTTTCCACTATATGTCAAAACTACCAGTTTTAGAAAAGGTAGCAACTATTTTACAACACTACAAAAACAAAGGCAGAAACTCAGTCTAGAGCTATGGGCTACCACTCGCATCCCTGACATACAGTCTTACTAATTAATATTTCTAGTTTAAAAGGTGGAAAAAGAGTTGGTCTTGGTCTTTCTGTCCTCTGTCCCACTTAGCTGGTACCTGACCCATTCTGCCTTATGCTGCTAGTTATCTTTGTGTCTCCCCACCTAAAATGTAAACTCTGAGTGTGATTACATTATTCCTATAAACCTCCAGATTCCATAGAAAACCCGGAAGAGGGTATTGAACAATAGCACACAAAAAACAAATCGTTGGTGAATTCATTTCTGAGCGTCACAAAATGATCCCATGAGTTTCTAATCATGAACTCCCAGTTATTACTATGACCTTATTTTATTATAAATCTTTTGTTTTATTTTAATCTTTTTAAAAATAAATTTAAGAATACACTAAAGTTTTTTCTCCCTTCCCAAAATGGAGTGATGATTTCTTTCCATTCCAGTCCATTAACCAGAATTCAAAAAGTTATTATACCTAGGTTGATAATATAGAAATAAATCTTCATAGTTGTATTATAAACATTTTAAATACTTGCCTTTTTTAGCCCTAATAACTGGGGAAAATTAGCAAGGGCCTACACAACCTACCTAAAAGGCTAACTTAATTTTTAAAAAACTTTAAAAAATAATTCTGAAGTCATATGTTCTTATAAGCATTCTAAAATACATGCAAATTGTCTTTGTAAGAAACCTGACAATCTACTCCCAATCCTTGAAAATGTATATTTTACCAAGTTGCTTTTGGGATGGTCAACTACTTAAACTATTCATACTATTCATTAGTGTATGAAATAAGTTGGTAGATTTTACCAGTATTTATATCGTGATTGTAATGAAAGTATTGCTACATCTATTCCATTTCTTTGATAAACAAATTTTCCAATTTTAAATTCTATATTTACTTTAAGATGTTATTATTTTGTAACTCACACTGAGAAATAACACAAATATACTTTACCTGAATATTTTTACAAGTACAAAAGATAATTTTAATAAGTTAGTTTTTCTCCCTAATCCTCACAACTATATTTTATCTTATCTTACTTGGCCCATAATGAAGTTAGCTTATTTAAGATACATGAAACCTATGTACTAAAAATTTCCTGGAACCTCAACAAAACCACACACTGACACTGGAAGACTATCTTCCAAAAATCCTAATGCAAGTCCTTTAAAAATAAGCAGTGTACCGCATCCTCATCTGAAAGGTGATGGGCTTAAAACCCTAGAAAAGCATGGGAAAATTATATGTGACTGGCTGGAATCAGAACTCAGCTCTTTCATATTCCATCAGGTAGAGAAGAAAACTAATTTTTCTACATATGCTTGGTGAGTAGGAGCCAGCAGGTTCACTGTGGCAAATAAAGTTTTTAAAGACTAGAAAGAAGGTTTTTTTAAAAAGTTGAAGAAATACCAATATGTAATGAGCAAGAAAGCAATTAAGTTGCCTATGGCAGATACTTATTCAAGAAGCAAAAAGGTTAGGAGAAAAAAAAAAGAAAAACTAGCAGGAAATGCTGAGCTCTTTCTGCATGTTGGGAATCCACCCCAAATCTATCAGCAGAAAGAAAAGTCATTGAAGGAAGGAAGGGAAGGAGTGGAAAGGACACAGAAAAGGGGAGCTCGCAAAAAGCAAAGGGGGTCAGAAAAGGTTTCTAGAGCAAATGCTTCTTTTAAATTGGTCACCTTCTCATTTTTATATTTTAAATATTGGCTTAACCCACAACACTTTTTATAGAAATTTGTATTATTGCAGTATTAATTAGGAACCTGACCTACGAGAGATAAAGTTCCTGACTGTAATGTAAAGTCCAGGAAAACAAGCGAGTCTTAAATCTCAGGGAAATATAAAATAAAGTTGTATTTTAGAGAAATAAGAATTTTGCTATTCTCAAGAACAAGATTTTAACAAGAGAAGGGGTTTATCACTTCTACCCTACCATGCACTCAACAGTAGTTAATTCATCAAATACTTTTTTTAAAAAAATCTGAAATTAGAATGCGGCAGGAAAAAAATTTGCATAATGGTATCTTTGGGCATAGAGGTAAATAAAAGTATACTAGTATATGGTATAATATATGCACTGTTTAACTAAGCACATGTAAAGCACCTGTGTCTATATTTGTATTCTGAAACTAAAGCCCTAGTCTTTTGAAAAGGCTTTTACATTTCTAATTCAAGGTATGGGACTCATTGGATTTGACACAAGAAAAAAAGTTACTCAAATTTTAATGGGAAATTAACCTTAATGTTATGAATGGATGCTTTCTTACTTGGAACTATTGGAAAAAATAAAAATGTAAATGTTTTTGTTTAATACACTACACAGGTTGAGAAATTCAATAAAGATGTACATATCTCCAATTGACCATACTCTACATAAATTACATAATTTAGTTCTGTGTCATTTACTAGGTCCTGGTGATTCTGAAATAAAACATATCACGTTTTAAACAATATAAAATAAAATGCATCCTATTTTAATGAAATAAAAGAATTAAACTGGCTTATCAAGCGGCAGGAATCTGTTATTTCTCAGTAATAGATATTCATCACTCAGTTTTGCAATTTGTTCATATTAAATACCATCAAGATGTTGGGGGAAAACTGCATTAATTATTAATTTGGAGTGGAAATAAAAGGAAGCTGCCTTGTGGGCTACTCTTTAGACTTCTCCAACGCGCTAAGCGATGACCCAACCGCACCGTCCCAGAGGAACCACGGAGCATACACGATGGCTCTCGGTCGCATGCAGAGCCAGAAGGAGCTCCGTGCGCACAAGGGGCAGGTGACTGGGCCTGGCACACGCATGCTGAACTCCATGGGGACGAGTACCGTACCTGAGGGGTGATCCGACGAGCAATGCAGGCGGGGTAGGATTACTGCCTGCATTGTGGCGGCGTCGCACCGCCTGGCGCCTAAACGTGCTGCGTTCACGGCGAAACGACACCGCCTCCTCGCTGGCCTGCGCTGCGGCATCAAGACAGACTGGGTCAGACAGGGCCTCGCAGGGACAAGAGCAGTGGGCTGCCTCCCTGACCCCCCCAGCTCGGGCGCCGGGCTAAGCGCTCCGAACTGCTTCCCGTGGACGCCGTCCGAGGACACACACAAGGCATGCGCTGCTTATTTACAGATAACGGCTTCTCCAAAAACAGTGTTTCATCCGATTACCTGGTCTCCCCATCCTCTCTTCAACCTCAATCTCCCATTTTTAAGATCTTTGTTGCATTCAATCTCTTCCTAAAAGTCTCATTTTTATCCTCTCTTCCCTCTTTAGTCAAGGCGGCTTTATGAGTACATACAATACTTGCTAGTCAGTGTCTACTACAGGGAATGGGCATTCGTGTCTTCCTGGCATGAGGACAGTAAAAGCAGCCAAGGTAGTCCCCCACTGTCCATGCCAGGGAGTGAGGGCAGGCTGCTCTCAGGCCTTATGCCATGGTCGTGGTGGCATTAAATGAACCTCTGCACAGCTAGTTGCTAAATGCCCAGCACAGCACCAAAAGACTTGACTTGCAAGTACCCACTATCACCACACTGCATTCAACCCAATGCCCCTGGCCCTGGCCCTGGCCCTGGCCCTGGTCCTCGTCCTGGTTATGGTCCTAGTCCCCCCTACATTAAGAAGCAAAATGGCAAGTATACAAACTCACAGCTGAATATAGAAGAAAGAAAGTGCAAATTAAAACCAGGCATACAACAAGGAGAACATCACAACAGTGGTTAAGTAGGACACACAGATTTTACAAAACCATACAAATTGACCAAAAGGTTTCTGAAACAAAATGAAAAGTGATTTTCATCCATTTGAATATAAAACAATCATTTCCTAGTGTGATCTAAATATTTGGGAATCACTTTGATTTTGAGAAAAGGTATGTTCATGCTGAATATAAATAAAGACAAAACAAGTTAGTAAAGAAACATTCTTTCCAAACACAAATTCCTTTAAATGTGCAAAGGATGTTACTTGTGAGGTAAAAGTTCATGTATACAAACATATTAGTCTATAAGAACAAATGCTGTGATTCAATCTGTTCATCTAGAACTGTGCTATGCTGTCCAAAATGGTACCCATTCACTATATGTGGCTATTTAAACTTAAATTAGAATTAAGTAAAATTTAAAATTCAAGCTTGAATTTTACAAACTCATGCCTGTAATCCCTGCACTTTGGGCGGCAGAGGTGAGAGGATTGCCTGAGCCCAGGAGTTCAAGATCAGCCTGGGCAACATGGTGAGACCTCGTCTCTACAATACATTAAAAAACTAGCCAGGCATGGTGGCACACGCCTGTGGTCCCAACTACTTGGGAGACTGAGGCAGAAGGATCGCCTGAGCCCAGCAGGTGGAGGCTGCGGTGGGCTGTGAGTGTGCCACTGCACTCCAACCTGTACAACAGAGTAAAATCCAACTCAAGCAAAAATCCAAGTACCATATGTTCATACACGTAAGCAGACCCTGAACAATAATCATAATATACTATAAGAAAGGGATGGGCAGTAGCAGGACACTGCTGGGGAGGGAAAGGCAGGGCACATAACATTAATAAGGGTACCTGATCTCAAGTCAGGCAAAGTGCGGACCAAAGGGGAAAACTTTGCCTGTACAATGACCACTTATCTACCAAATTGTATCCTACATCTTTAAAATAAAATTTTTAAAATAAACAAAATAATTGAAAATTCAGTTCCTCAGAGTCATTAGCCATATTTCAACTGCTCAGTAGCTGAGCAAGTGGCTACTATTACTAGTAGTTGGAGCTAGTGGCCACTATTACTGGACAGTGCAGATATTGAGCATTCTCATCATCACAGCAAGTGGCACGGGGCAGTACTGATCAAGAAGATCAAGGCTGCCTTTCTGCTATCACATCTATAGGCACACTGCATACTTTGCCCATTCCTGATAGCCATGACCCCAATGAAATGAAAATACAATCAGCATTGTCACAAAGGAGAAAATATATACAGTGATAGGGAAGTCACTGGATGAAGAATAAAACAAAGCAGAGATGAGAATCAGCCAGCTGAAGGAAGAAATGAAAAGTCAGCTGAGTAATTGGTACACCTACTAACGGTGCTCAGACATCAGCATAGTTAAATCAGGTTATGAAATTTAAATCACTATTTAAAAACTCAATTCAAGACTTATTTATGAAAATATTATATTGAAGACTTCTAGTCTATGGCTGTTACAAACCATATAAATTATTTATAAACTACTGCTTATAACAAATGATTATGCTCAATTTACAAGTCAATCTAACTTTAGCAAGAAACTTTCAAATGTTCTCTCTAGTTACAGATATTCTGCTTCAACCAAATTAGGAAAGTAATGCTTATCCAAACATAACTTACAAGAGATAATTTATCTATAATATATACTAAAGTTATTCAGGATTTAGAAAAAAGCAGTATGGATCACTGACTGCTAAGAATAGGACAAAGGGAAACAGGAGAAATGTTTAGTCAAAATGTTCTTTGGCTTCTTCAGAAAACAATTTTTTCTGCTAATAATACACCATTTATATTTTGTTATTAATATCTGCAAAAGAGCTACATATTACATTACTTCTTAATAGTCTTGGAATCACATCAAGATGAAAGTTTGGGCATCCACTGAGTAACGTTAAAGTGAAACTATGATTACTGTCTGTTTTCCTTTGTAATATTCAGGGCATTAAGTTGTTCAAAATGCTAACTATGGCAACTGCTTTAACAGTAACTAGGATCCCACATTCAACTGAAAATGCTATAATTTATGGTCACAGTAAATAAGATTAAACCATGCCCTCATGGGAACGAGATATTTACGGAACATCGCTATTTGGAATAGAGTCCATTGGGGGTCCAGTTCTATTAGACCAAAAGAGGGAAATGGGTCTTTAAAGCTTAAGATAATTTGCTATAATCATATGCAATCAATCATACTTGATAAAAATTCACTTCCACAACCCAATTGTAATAAACTCTTTCTGAAGCATTTAATTTTATGGAAAAAAAGAAAAAAAACTTAACTAGAGAACCAGGCAGAAAGGAGAATGTATTTTAAAAACTGGTTTTGAAGCTGACATTTTGACACTGCTTAAAATCCAGTATCTTCTGGCAAAAGAGAATGGAATTAACTAGTTCATTTGTAAAAATATAAAATGCACATAGTAAAGAATTAGCACTCTAGATACAATTAAATTTTATGCATGTGCAGTTAAAGAAGAAAAAAATCACAAACATCCAAGTGATTCAAAAACCATGAATGAAAAAAACAGATATTGTATACTTCCAAGAGCATATATTTAGACAGCTGTGTATTTTTTAATGTACTTTTTTTGTATTTTTTTTCAAGATTACAACAGTATTGACTTTCTAACCATTTCTCTATGTGGGTTAAAAATAAAAAGACTTCAGAAGACTGAGTTTATTATCATAATCAGTTTAAGAGGGACTTTCAGATAATTTAGCTTTTTGTTTTTGGTATCCTGATGCAATTACTACTATTTAAGCACTTACTACCTGTCTAAGGGCAACTCAGGGACAAGGCACAAATATCCTCGGACATTTTCAGTGGCTGTGGTCCATCTATTTCTGAAGAGCACAAAGAAAGGAGAATCCAAAACATACACCTCCCACCTCAGGAGTTACTTCCCATTAGTCTCAGTGAGCTTAAGAAAATCCTACACATTCTATACTGCATTATTTTAATGCAACTACTTATTCTTATAGGGAGTATTACTCTAACAGATTGTCATTGGTTTTACTCTGTGAATGAAAACACGGAAAGCATCAAACGCAAGAATACACTTCCAGAATGGCTGGGATGCACTAAAGAGCAAAGTTTGGGAAGGTAGGAGGTGAGGGTTGTCCAAATTCTATCTCAAAAGCTGGAAAACTGTAAGTGCAGATAGAGATGCCACTTTAAAAACTGATGTCAATCATGTACCTGACTGATTTGTAGAAGGAATCATATGTGGCAAGTAACTTGCCAGTCATTATGTGCTATGGTTGTGTTCTTGTAGTGGCTCAATTGCAATTATATAAGTTAATACAAACTTACAGGAAATTGCTCAAGAAAACTGTTCTTTTCAGTGAGCAATGTTTATTGTGGGAGAAAAAAGAGTAAATCTGAGAAGACTATGAGAATAAAAATATGTGTTTATTACCTCAAAAAAATCAGAACAAAAACTGTATTAGGAAATTAAATTTTAAGAAAGACAACAAAAGTATAAAACAAATAAGTATATATACATTTCAGGAAAATAAAAGCTGCAAAATTCTGAAATACACTGAAATATGTTTCAAGATAAAACCTATTTTACTTAACAAAGCAATGAAATGAATAAATAAATGAATAAACACTCCAAAAATACTGCAAGAACATTCTTAAAAAAAATCTTAATCTAAGCATGAAATCTACTTTATCTAAACAGTTTTCCTATTTCTTAGTTTCTGTGTTGGCCAAAAATAAGGCTAATATCAACATGCAAAGATTTTGTTCTAATGAAGAAACAAATGTTTATACAAAAGTGTCATTTTCTAGGAGGCCAAAGAACAATGAGAATCTACTAAACAATTTCTAAGTATTAATTCTGAATTAAGCATTCTTCTAAGTGATTTTATACCTCTAGGTTTTCTTCACAATTGAGCCTAAACATAATCTTTCTTAATTATTACAGCATGATACTATACTACCATATTAAGTGATGATACTATGATGTCCTTGAACACTGCTTGTGTTTAGCAACCACACACCACTGAGTTTCCCGCTTGGCGGCCATCACCACAGAGCCTGCTTGTGGTCAGCCTCACTCCTATGAACTGGCTGCACTTGCCATGTGGACTAGGAAATTGGAAAAGTAAGCTGAGCAGACTTCAGAGTCTCTCTATTCAGTAAAGCACTAAAGTTGTAATGCACATTTTCTGTCTGTTCATTGGTCTTTATCTTTTCTTTTTAATGTTCAATGATATTTGTCCACAAAATAACAGAACTTCCATTTATGTGTGTAGCACGAACCCTCATAAATTGCTGATTGAAAAGATTTTACTTTTCTTTAATTATTCCTTTAAAAATTACCTTTGGTTCCTAACACAACATTTGAATAGGATTCTACTTCACACTTACACAATAGTGACCCAAACATTATAATTAAAACAATTTTTGCAGAGAAGTAAAGGTTAAGCAATTCAGAAAAAAGTACAAAGAATATTAAGTAAACACAAACTTCTCCACTCTGGCTAGTCCTTGTATTCCAATAACTGATATAGAAAATATGCTATAATAATAGTATCAAATCAGACAGGAAATAAACTTAAGTAGCCCAAAAGCAAACTACTGTATTAAAAGTAATACAGGCTAGAAAACATAGGACATTTTTCTATCATATATAATTCGGTACACTTTTTATTCTTAAAATATTAGTTATAAATTCTTAAAGATATGCCTTATAATTTTTTAAAAAATTAAGTACAAAACAAGAGTGCAAGAGAAAATGCCTTAGTTTGAACTTAAAACATTTTTCCAGCCTAAGAAATTGTAGATCATCATTGGTGAAATCCAATTTTAACCAAAATACTTGATGAATATGAAAGAGTATGTGAAAACTATCACTGTTATGTGACTGAATATAAAAAGATATGTTAGCTACTACTGCCAAAATAAGGTTGAAACCCATGTTACTAAATTAGGTATTAATAAAAAATGTTTTTTCTGTGGGTGTTATATAAGAAACTAGGAATTCAGATATTTTTATTTTTACTATTGTTGAGTTGCACAATGGCACAATTAGAATATCTCTAATTTATTTATATATTTAATCATTTTCTTCTATTTTAATTTTGTACCACTGAATTAATGAGGTTAATTTTATATCATTGAATTAACAAGAACAGGACACATCATATAGCATAGGGAACTGTCCTGTTTGATAATAGTGAAAGCAGCACTATTAAGGCATTTACTTTGCAACAGGCCCTGTTCTAAGCACTTCTGTGTGTTAACTCCTTCAACCTCACAGCAACCCTATGAGATAAACACTACCATACATCTCATTTCAAGATGAGAAAGCTGGGGCTTATAAATCCCTTTCCTAGAGTCACAACTACAGGGGCACCCTCTTACCAACAAAGCTAGATGACTCGTGTCACCAAACTAGACTAACTCCTATTTTAGTATTTTATTTTAGTACTGTGAGTATATTTTCTACATTCCATCCTCCGCACTACCAACACCACCATCTTAAAAATGAAAAGAAATCGCTGGAGAACGCATCAACACCTTCAAGTTCATTAGGATGAGCTCTACCTGTGGTCCATGTACAGGCATATGGATGGTTAAGCAGTGACATATTCCATCAACACATTTTAGGAGGCAGTGTGTAAGGTAGAATGGATGGCCCAAAAACATTTCCTCTAAATTGTCAGATGGGATAGTACCACATAATGGTAATACAAACAAATATCTTTAACAAGTATTTAAGATTCTATGTAATTTCCAAATAATGAGAGCCAAAACAAATCCCCTCTCACCACCTCCAACTTCCCAAAAAGTCCAAACAAACCCCCAACAAAACTTCTATATTTAATATTTAGATAAAAACCAACTAAATATAAGTCCCCAACACATTTGTGTGGTTTAGTTTTGCTCTTATTTTTATTCTAAATTCAATGAAGCACTAATAAAAATAGTTTTTGTCCCCTGGGAAGTAACACACCAAGAATACAGACTTTAGGGAAAAAAAAAAAGTTTTTGCAATGCCTTCCTTAGGCAAAAAATATTTTTCAACAGCCCACAGAGCCAAAGGAGATGGAAATTTTTAGTTCATTATTTGTTTCTTCTTAACATTTAAGGTTATTTTTTTTAAAAAGAATACAAACAAAAGCTATAACCCAGAAAAATGAGAGCTTATATTAAAGAACTTTACTGAGAAGCAAATAATACTTTCTATGTAACTCTTCCTAAAATAAACAAAGCATCTCACATTCCCTGTAAAAACAAAATGACATTTTAAATCTAAAGACATAGATTTATTACATACTTTTGTATATATTTTTTGTGTTTCAACAATATTCAAAACAGCAATATGTTTCTATCATAGTATGTTCACTCTTAAAATTCATTTTTATAACAACTTTAAAAAGTAAGCTAAATTTTAAAATCCAATGGTTTCTTGCACATTGCCAACATATCTGATAGGGTATGTATAAGAAATCACTTTGAACATTTTATATTTTTTATTAAAAAAAACACAATGGTATCCAGGTCAAAGACTCAAGGGAACTTAATTAGTATATTGTCATCAAATGGTTATAACTGTTTCCAATATAATTAGTTCTCAATATTTAGGTTTGATAGACTTTTTTCCTTAGGGACTACAGATAATTTATTTACATTCCCATTACAAATTAATCTTAGTTAGAAACTTTACCAAAAGGGTGGAAAAAACCCAAGAGAATGTTGACCACAAACGAACTTTAAAAATATTCTGGATGAAATTAAAATTCCTTACAAAAAAAGGCACATTTATGTGTTTCAGAATATTTGTACAAACAAAATCCAGCTTAACTTTTAAGCATTACTGAACATTCCCACACCAGACAAACTAAAAACTTTAAAACAAAAGACATGAGCATAAAGAAAGGGAAGGGGGTAGAGGCCAAAAAAGCAAAGGTGCCAATGATAAAAGACCTAATTCTTCTGATTCTAGTCAAACAAATTCCATAATATCAGGAAAAAACTAGTTTACGCAGAAATAAATAGCAAGACTCTGAAATAAACAAAGAGGACAACAACACATATAATTTTGCACGATTCCCCATTAAACCTGAAATAAATAGGCTATTACTTTAACCAAAACACTATCACTGTTATCATAGGAAGCATCTTACATCGATTAATGGATACAAACTGTTGACGCAAACTACAAACCTCAATTTAATAAATTTTAAGAAAAGTGTGAAACTACAGAAAAAAATAAAATGTCCTTAATGCCTGAAACTTGAATAACCAAACAATAATACCAAAGACACAGAACAACAACAACAAAAAGGTACAATTATCAAAGTACATAATCAGAGCTAAAGTAATCTTTGGAAAGCTCCCAGTAATCTAACTCCTAAATCTCGGTGGCCACACTGCCTAAGAAATCACTCAAACTGGTCTGGTGCCCTAATAAAATTACATATTTTGTTATCGCTTTGTTGTAAAAGAAAGGAGGCTAATTTTTGTTATTCCTAGCAAAACATTAACAGGTGGTAACTGGCTTAGACAAGGAGACACCGTCAAGAACAAATTGATATACTAAAATATTACAACTGAAAAGATACTTTTTAGTGTTCACACCAAGACCTTTCCTAAAGGTAACCACCTCCTTCTCCATTCAAGAGAGCTGATTTTACTAACACAGGGTAGGGGGCATATTCACAGAAGCACATTTCAATGAGCATTGCTCATCTTAGCAGTGCCCACACATGCAGAGACCTGAGAAGCCCCTCCCTCCAGTGACTTACCTCCACCGCCTGCGTCTTGCTCCTCCCCTTCAGCAAAGGCACCCTGGCTCGGCAAGCTATTCCGAGACCGAGTGACGGTCTCCAACTGGGAAGCCCGCCCCAACAGAGACAGCTCATCCAGCACCTCCCCCTCTTTGGCCTCGAGGTCCGACTTGGACGTGGTTAAGCGCTTGATGTTCTCTGGGGCCATCAGCCTGCTGGAGCCATTCAGACATGCCACCGTGCCACTGTCCAGGCTCAGAACTCGGGCCCGGGTCTTGGCGCTGTGTGTGCTGGAAGTCCGCCGCGGGGCCCGCTTTTTGCCAGCTCCTTCAGGAGCCAGATGGGCTCTGTGAGAGTGCTGAGAGTCAGTGCCCCTGTCTTTATGACTGTGTTTGGCCTTGAGAGCACTGTACCTACCCTCGGGAGACTGGCAGGAGTGAGAGGTGGTGCTGGAAGAGCTATCGCTGTTGAACTGGTGAGCAGACTGAACACTCGATGCCCGGCTCAGGTCACTCTGATCGCTGGAGTCCTCATCGTGACAAAAGATAGCACTGTGTGGTTTGGTGCCAGAAACACCACGAAAGGACACATAGTCCCTGTGCCGACTTGAATCGAAACTGCTGGCCCGTTTTTTCCCCGTCCGCCGCCTGCCTGACTTATGGGCAGAGGCTGTCCGGTGGATCACGCTGGAAGATTTAGGCCGAACGTCCCCCTCCTTCTGCCTTCCACCCACAGCCTTACACACTTTTGAGTCCCCTGAGCTAGCTGACTTCTCACTCTGCTCCTCTCTGTTCTCTGTGGCATTCCCAGATGGCCTGACGCCTTGGGATGTGACTTCGTTTGCATGGGGATTTTTATTGGCTTCTTCAGACGCAGAGGTGCTGAGGCCTCTCTGGGCATGCGACTCATCAGAGGTGCTGGAGTCCTTGGCCTCAGGGACTCCGCTATTGGCACTCCCTTCCAAGGCAGCTTTCTCGCTGCTAGTCCTCCTGTCCCTGGCACAGCCGCCCTTCTCCTCTGGGTCGGCAGGGTCGGCAGAGTGTTCTCTCCTCCCGTCACCCTTAGTTCCTGCCTTGGGAGACTCGTCGTGCTCTGACAGGGCGCCCTCGACATGAGTGGAGCTGGTCTGCTCGCTCTTATAGCTGCTGACTGTGCTGTTGGAATCACGGTCTGTGCCACTGCAGTAGCTCTCAGTGGACGCACTGCTCCGTGTGCTCAGACTCCTCAGGCTGTCCACACTCTTGTCTGCTTTCAAAGGTTTGCTCTTCCCACTTTTTGTGGGTGGCTGAGAAGGACTGTTTTTCAAGTCACTAGCAAGCTGAAATTCCCCAGATACACAAGAATTTTCCACCAAGGATTCTTTGGATCCAGAATGAGGTTTAGAGGATTCCAACTCGCTCACTGGGTCTAGCCCACGTCTCTGCTGATAAAGAGGGAAGTCATTCAGTGCCGTGTCTGGGAAGGCCACAGCAGAGCTGGAAGTCCGTGGAACCCCTCGTGGCCGGTGCTCCTTCCTGTAAGAGTGTGAATGTAAAGGTACGAGAGAGGCTACTTCCGTGTCACAGGCGCTAGATAGAGACTGGTCCACATGGTGGTGGTGGCTGTGACTTGGCAAGCTCACTTTGTCGCTGAAGTCCCTCGGTAAGTCCTGTCCACAAGAGGATAAGGAAGGTTGAATGGAGATGAAGGAGTCATTGGAGACCAGACGAAAGAGCTTCCGATCTGTGGCCAAGTCTGTTACAAACACATATTTGGAAATGTTAAAACAAATGTAGGGTCTGCTGTCCTACTGTTTAACAATGGCAAAATCTCACCACATACTGTAAATCAAGTATAAACAATTTCTCGAGCAGTTCACTGAGTAAGAGTTGGCCAGTCATTTCAAAGAGCTGGTTTCCATTTCACAGCTGCACAAAGAAAGCATTCTACTGATGGAATGAACTGAACTTCCAAACCTTTGAGTTTTTCAACTGGCCTCAGATAAAGTTCTATAGACTATCAACAATAAAATAAGAGGCTACAGAGGACTGCATTTAAAATGGACCTGGATTTCTATGCAAGCTCTGTCTCTAACTTACTAACTTGGTAACCTTGGGTTACCCTCCGAACCTTGTTTTCTCATCTGTGAAATGTGGTATTAACCTGACTGAGCCATAGGTAAGGAATAACTGAGTTCATAACATATACTGCTTGGCACAATATTAAAAGTTATTTTAATATTGTTATTTTAATAAGGTATCATTTTATCTCACTAACACAATATTAAAATCCACTTGGAAAACTAATGGTTATTTTACAAATCAATAAAGACCTATAAAAATCAGAAACAGAAAAAAAATCAAAAGGCCAAACAATGCCCAAACAAGACATGATATAAAAATGTAAAGACATCTTGTTTGTAACAGTTAAAACAACAACAACTACAGAGCAAAATACTGATTTTCTCTTTTGTTACTGATATAGCAATTATAAAATACCCTGTGAAAAAATACATATCTTTCTGTATCTATAAGACCATTCCTTTAACTCTCCATTTATGATAATGATTTGTGACTTGAATTATCATATGTACTATGTATGTAAATATATAGATATAAATATAGATATAAATAAATGCACCTACCCACCTACCTAACATTGTAATTTATCTTGGAATAGAGCTTGACAATCGAACCGCACAATAGCTGATTTTTTAAATAGACATTTTGACAGACAAGGGTGGTTGAACCTGCTATTAATTAAATAAAAAGAAAAATTCATGTCTTATTTGTCATAAATGCATAGGCAAAGTACAACAGATTCTATAGTAAGTCAGATTTTCCCCAGTAGAATCTCAATAACAAAAGCAGACATTTCTCTCAAGATTAAAATGAGTCTCTAGAAATGTTTATATACTTTTTAAAAAATCTAAATTTAAACCAGATCTATGAATAATTAATTAAATCTGGAGGTAGCCTCTAGAGTGTACCAGAAAAATTGTGATCTATAAATGACCTATTAGGTTTTATCTTGTGTTTTAAAGTTTTCAAGATATATTAAACCGATGTTCTTTATCATTTTCCAAAGAGCTGCCACTGTACTTGGGTTCTTATAACCTCTAAATATCAAAATTTAAAAGTTGGCATTGCATTTACTTTTTTAGTATTAAATTAAAATGTTATTTCTAAAAACTCTCTAAATATCTCTAATAAACAATTATGCAATGATATGTCATTCACATTTCAAGAATATGAATTTTACATAACAATTAACTCATGAACTCTGAACAGGTAGTTGAAAAAAAATCTCTAAATCTAAGATACAACAAAGGACTTTTTAAAAAATGCTAATGATCAAAACCAACTCCCTTCCAAGACATTAATAAAGCAGAAACTTAAGTTTTTCATTTTAAAAGGCACAGCCAAATTTACTTTAATATATGTACTTTTTTCAATGGTGCTAAATAAATATACCATAAAAGTCTTTATTTTGTCAGAAAGAATTTTAGGTGGTCTTAGGAAGTTTTCAAGTAAACAAATTTCCTTAGACATTTTTTTCTTACTGATACCAATATATTCAAATACATCAAAGCTAGGAGGTTCAAATCAACAGAGAGATACTACTTTTAATCTAACAACTCTTTTCAGTAACTGTTATTAGTGGTATTTAGAAAAAGAAAGGCACACTCAAATACTGTTTGTTCATGGTGGTGTGCAAACTGGTTTAACTTTCTGTAAAATAATCTGGCAATGGGGCCAAAGCCTTGAAAACGTATTCTTACCCTTTTATTGGTAATCTATTTTTAGAAATTGTTTCTAAAGGATAAAATATGTGTACAAGGTTTTAACACAAAGTTGTTCCTCTCAAGTTACAAAAGTTCTTAAAGCATAAAAAGTGTAACAATGTCAATAAATAATGGCTAAATAAATTATGTAGTCTATTAATTTAATTCAGGCACTAAAAACATTTTCAAAGATTATATAATAATATGAGAAAATACTTAAGTGAAAAAGGTGGCACTATACAAAAAGTATAATTCCAGTTTTGTAAGTTAGAAGAAATGCTAAGGGGACATGTGTGTGCTTATATGAATGGAAAAAGTGATACACCATAGTCAGTCATAAAAAAAAAAAAAAAAAAACACAGTCCTGATACATGTTCTACTATGGCAAGTGAAAGAAGCCAGGCACTAAAGACCACATGTGATATAATTCCACTTACATGGAATGTCCAGAATAGGCAAATTCAAGGAGACAGAAAGTAAACTAGTAGTTGCCAGACTGGCTGGAGGAGGAATGTCATGGGTGATGAAAATGTTCTGTAATTGGACAGTGGTGATACATCATGAATACTCTAATACCAGTGAACTACATACTACAATAAAAAATAACACAAAAAAAGTGATACACCAAAAAATATTAACAAGTTTCTCAATGGCAGACAGGTGAATTATTCTTTTCTCCATACCAATTATATTTTTTAAAGTTAACATACATTACTTTTATAGACAGAACCCATTTGTTCCTCCTCTCTTCTGTTGATCCCCGTCCAAGCACACTGTCCTTTCTTCTGCCCTCAACCTCATCTCCCTTGCTTGCTACCACCTTCGTCTCTGCCCTTCACTAAAGGTCTCTCAGTTGTCTATACCCGCTGTCTTCAAATCTTTCCCAATTCTCTCCTACGTGGATCCCAAATCCCCTCCACTAAGATATGCTTCCCAAGGTCACCAACACCCTGACGCCATTTCGTCTGTGGGTCGAGCCTCAGTCTATACATCACTTAACCCAGCGGCAGTGGCTGACACAGTTTGAACGCAGGCATTGCAGTCTGGTTTCTCCTCGGTCTCGCCAGCTGCTCCCGCTCCATCTTCTGGACGTCCTAATTCGGAATGGCTCAGGGTTCTGTCCTCAGAACTGGTCATTTTTCTCTCTACAGTTCCTTTTGCAGATCTTATCCCATTTTCTGTTCCCATGATAAACTGAAACTTGCTCCTCCGTCCTCTACGCATCCCTGTTCTCACATGGAACAGTCTTGAGTTCTGGACTTGGACAGGCAAGGCATGTACAGACTCGGCAGGGAGCTGGAGATGGCTCCTTCCTAGCAGTGAGAAAGCAGAGGACACGATCCGTCTCGCATCCTCAGCTTCTGCCCAATCATCCTTATCATGAAACAAAGCGAGTGCCAACCAGTCGACCAACAGCCCACCAGCTCACCACAGGTTACCGTCCTGTAAATCCAAGAAGCCAGCCCCGACTGACAGTTAGGCAGGAGCGAACCCTTGCCGCTAGGTGGTCCAGACCCCAGCCCGGAAGTGGGATGTGGACAGGGAGCTCGGCGGCAGCCAGTGTGGGTTTACCGACTCCGCACCGCCCAACGCCCCATCTGGCGCGACTGAGTTTTGCTCTGCATACACAGACAGCTTTTAAACTTGAAGCCCAACCCTGAGCGCGCCCCTGAAACCAGGCCTCTCTCTCAACGTGCTGCCGCCTGCAGCCTAACAGCATCTCACGCCACACGAGCCCAGAGCTGACCCTCCGGACCGCCCCCACCGGACCTGCCCTCCCACTCCTCCCTCCGCGGCCAAGCGCCCCCTCCCCCCTGAGCTGAACTCTAAAGCCTTCGGGCGGCTGCATCCCAACCCACAAGACATCCTCTGCCGACCTCTACACACAGCTGGCCTCTCCCACCTGATCTGTGTTCCGGGTCACCGCAACCATCTGCTAGCCTGGCTCACTGCTGGCTTCTGCCCTGTTCAGTCAGAGGAGCCAGAGGGACTCCCTGGAATCAACACAACCCTTAGCAGTTCCTCCCCGCACATGGAATTCAAACAGGCATCTGTGGAATGCTTTCCCGGGACTCTGGCAGGGGGCCTTCTCTCCCTCTGAACCCACCCACAATTTCTCCCACCTGACGCTCCTCCTCAGGGCTTCCCCACTCCCCGGGCAACTGACAGCACACTCCTCCTCCTCCCTCAAGGATTCCCTCCCTCTTCCTCTACCTGATCGCCATGCTCCTCCTCCTCCACCTCAGGGCTTTCCCCCACCCTCCTATCTGATAGACACATTCATCCTCCCCACCAGAGCTTCCCTCCCTCCTCCTTCTCCGGACAGGCACACTCCTTCCTCAGGGCCCTTGCCCTTGTTCTTCCCTCAGGTGGAGAACTCCACCTCCTCCAGGCCTTCTCTCAACTACTCCATCTACAATCATTAGCCCCCCCACCTCCGTGCCCACCCTCCCTAGCCTCCATATACTACATAAATACTCATTCATGCTAGTAGGATTTCATACTAATAGCACGGAAACCACAAAAGGGTAGACATTTTTCTGTTTGTTCACTGATTTACTTCCAATACTTGAAACAGTGCCAGGTACATAAATGAGTCCTCAATAATATTTGTTAAATGTTAAAGACATGGGAAAATGTTATGTGATAAAAGCAAGTTCTAAAACAGCATGAAGTAGCATACACCAGACTTGACAAAGCATAACCCAAAACTAGACTTGCATTACAGGACTGCCACTCCGCACCGTGACTTCGAGCAGGTTTCTCATAGCTCCTCTCTGAGCTATTGTAGGATCCTCTATTAAGTGAGAGAACAGTGATGCCCACTCCAAGAGGAGTAGGCGGATGCTGATGATGTGATGGGAGGGGCCTAGGCACCAAGGCCCATCTACCGCCTCGTTCTGTAAATGAGGTCCCAGCAGTTCCTCCTCACCCTCATCCAGGTTCCTCGTCTCTACTGAAGCAGTGCTGGGGAGCTGAGCACACAAGAAGCCACACAGCCCACAAAGCTGTAGGGCCCATTACAGAAAAGGTATGCCGACTCCAAATTTAACAGCACACACCCCGCAAGTAGCTAGGCATCATCACCCATATGAATGCATGCCTGCAAGGTAAGATCTGTGTATATACATTCCCAACCTGCCAGACTATAAAATCCTCCTGAACAGGCCTTCTCAGATACAAAATAAGATAGAGACACACTCTAAGTGCAGTGGCCCCAACCACTCTAAGATCTAGTTGAGACACTTTGATAGTCTCAGATTTTAGAAAAGGGTGCTGTAATTCTCAAAGCAATTGATTCACCTTTAATTTTTTAGAAAGTGTCCATACCATACAATATGTACAGAGGTCTTTTTGGCAAAAGCAGATAAACAATGATAGTGTACTGTAATTTTAAAAAAACCCCAAAGAGTTACAGTGATAAATTTAATATTCCAAATGACAGTAACAAAATATGCTTGTAAGAAATGGACCTGGGTAAAATATTAAATTAATGGATAAATGTCATACTTTAGTGATCTCTTTGTAACCTCATAGACAAGTTTCAAAATTAGGAATAGGAAATTTATCAGCCTGTCTGCCCACCAAACATGGCCCACAGGCTAATAAAAGTAACAGGGTTATAACAGGGTGAAAATAGAGAGATGTGTTTCTAACCCAATTGTGGCTCACATATTATATAACCTTGGACAATCTTCATTTGAAAATGGGAACGACATATCTGTCCTTTTAGTTTGAAAATTAAAACTCATACATGAAAATGTGGCAGTTTTAAAAAACCTCAATAAAATCCAAAATATTCATCTAAAATAGAGTTGAACAAGAAGAAAACACATTACTGATAGCCAAAATTCTACTGACAACCTGCCAGCTGGTGATGAATATGGGGTTTCTCAGTAAGTCCCAGAGCAAGTTATTTCTCAGTTAGAACCTCCTGTGGTTTCTACAGCTGGACAAGAGACTAAGCATCTATTTAGAGATGAAACTGGAGGGAGAATAGCTGTCCCACCTATGAGGCCATCACCCAGCTGGCTGGCCAGTCTAACCCGCCACAGCAATGGCAGATTCCTACCCCTCCCACACACACTCTGAGGCACATGCTCATAACACTCCTCTCTCTGTGTATATTTGGCAGAACATGTATAACCAAGTTCCAGTAAGCTAACAGCATTTATATCTCTATGTTCCCATTATCCCAGTAACATTTTGTTTTAATGCTTCCTAGGAATACCATATTTAATTACTATAAACTTCCACCAAATTGCAAGCAGCAGTTCATGGATTTACTTGAGTCACCACAACATACGTCACTGTGAAGTTTAACGTCTTACCTTGGTCTTCGCTTCCTTCCTTACAAAGACTAGAGCTCTGGCCCAGACTTAAACTGATATCATCAGAAGTCTTAGCAGTATCTGTATCTCCTGTAAAGTGAAGAGAAACATGTGAGGACATTCTATTGAAAGGAAAGGCCGCAGTGTGGCACGACCCAGGAAGGACATCAAGGAGTGTAGTAGGTATCTATCAAGTAAAGACAGTCTTTATATATTGAGGGCCACAACAATGAAAGATGCACTAAACTAATTAGAATTATCACAGGGCCAAGTGTGGTGACTTACGCCTGTAATCTCAGTACATACAGAGTTTGAAAGGGAAGAATCACTTGAGCCCAGGAGTTTGAGACCAGCCCAGACAACATAATAAGACTTCATCTCTACCAAAAAAAAAATTTTTTTTAATTAGCCAGGTGTGGTGGTTCCTGTATTTCCAGCTACTCAGGAAGTTGATGCAGAAGGATCACCTGAGCCCAAGAGGTCAAGGCTGCAGTGTGAGCTGTGATCATGCCACTGCACCCCAGCCTAGGTGACAGAGTGAGACCCCAACTCAAAAACAAAAACAAACCAAAAAAAAGTATCACAGACTATTTCAGCACATAAGCATTTTCACAGAATGACATACCAAATAATATAGAAAGCTTCATAATGTTAGCTAATAAAATTATTTCTTTAAAAATAAGATTTTAAAAAGAAATGCAGATTATATAACAACAACATGAAACAACATAAATTTCCTTCCCAGAGAAAATTAGCAAGCTAAAAATTGAAGGGTAAAAATAATGTACATTTATCTCAAGTAGATGTATAGAACAAATGGCAGAAAATCATTTTCCTCTGTTTAGTACTTCATTTGTGCCTACATTTAAAGGTTAAACATCAAATTAATTCTCCATGAACCCCACCAAAGCCCAGAAAAGCATTTTTTCTCAAGGCAGGGAGTCTTCTTATAGATCAAGTGGTCAAAACACTTTTGTGAAATTTGAAGGATGAAAGGACGCACAATTCAAATCAAACAACATTTAATGAGATAAATATTTGCATCTATCAAGTAATTCAAGAATAATTTTTCGTTACGTATGAAAGTATAGTACTGTTATTTTTATTACAAGTGAAAATGACATGGGAAGTCAGAGGCAACTCTCAAGTTAAAGCACATCTACCTTTAATAGTCGCTGCTGTTCCAAGACGAGAGGAACCCGATCCGATCTGAAAACATGACATGGAGTGAGTAAAACTAGTTAAAATGCTAGCTACACGTCATCATCATCAATACAGACCAGCAAGATTATCAAACAAAATTACCATATGGTCAGAACACACGCTGTCACTTTATCAACATTACAAGATATCTGCTGACATGCTCTCCTGGGGCCATGCATCTGGCCTGCCATGGCCCATGCTGCGTACACCTAATACATGTGTACATGTTGACACACAGGTACGTGTTGACACACACATGTGTTGAGACCCTAGAGCCCTCTGATCGTTCAGGGCTGAGGGAGCCCCAGGGGCTGAAGCCTCCACTCTGAATAGCTCATGCCGTATGATTACTACGACTTGCAATGAGTCACGACCCACTCATGTTATGCACAAAAGCAGACGAGGCACTGTGTCTGCCTGGAGTCAATTTAGGTTTCTCAGGGTACATAAAAAGATGGTTCAGGGCCAAGGCACATTAATATATACTTAAAAAGAGCAACATAAATCTTACTGTCAAACTGCTAGCATATCGTTATGTACTTTCCGTAGCTCCAGACAAAAAGCAAGTACCTCTGTGAAGACAGCTAGAACACTGAAAACAAAATTCTGAGGCATCCTTGAAAAATGGATTTTTAGCACAAACTATAAATAGAAAATTAAAACCTTATGGTTGCGCTTTAGTGCTTATATTCAAGACAGTTTAACACTTCCCTAAAATTTCAGAGCCCTTATCATACTACCATCAAAAAATCATATAAATGAATACCACAGATTCCACAAACACATTAAGGAAACCAATAAAGCATGACAGTCACTAAACCAACAAGTCTTAACTTTTCTTCTAACTTGTTTTCATGGGATTCAAAGAAGAAAACAGGCAAGCAAATTTAGCACTGTAAAATAAAATGAAGAACATTCACATACTACTGTATGTTTTACCAAGTCTTCCCCTTCATTGATTCAATTTTACAGAAGCATACTACAAGAAATATGCTCAGAATATAGGCTAATGTTGACTTTGAAGGGCATGAGGGATTTTCTTGATCTGGATGGCAGCTGAATGGGTGAGCACAGATGTAAACATTCACTGAGCTGTATATATGTGTACTATGCTCTCTCGGTTACACACCAGTGAAAAGGTAAGTAAAAATAAGCATATATATGTGTGTGTGTGTATGTACATTGAAACTACTAATAAGTTTTTGATGTAGCCAATTAAAAATAAGTTTTGTAATATTTTTGAAATATTTTTTAAGCTTAGTTCTCACAGATTTTCCTAATTTTTGCTTTTAATTAGCCATAAAAAGCACTGCCATTAGCCAGAAAAAAAAGTCAAAAAGCATTTTACTGCAAAAGAAAGCTTCATTCTTACTACATCTGCTACACAAGTTACAGAATTAACATATGTTACTTTTCTACAGAATTACATGAAACTTCCTACACAAAAATTTAAAAACAAACAAAAACACCATTTTATATACACTCTTCTAGGAATTTAAACTTTTTTTAAAAACCTTTGTGAATATAGGCATGATAGTCATTTATCATTTGCTCAGGACCTCAAAGCATTCCTTTCCCCTTCCTCACAAGCCCCCCATTCTGTTCAGATGTTGGTCTCACATCTTTTGGTCTATGAGATGCAGGCCCAGTCTGGGTCTAGAGGCAAGTATACACCCAGCTCTGGTCCACGAGCACACAGAGCATCTGCTTGAGGGCTTCACGGAACGGTCCCTCCACGCCTGAGAAGAAGGTGACCAAGGAGTCTCTGCTTCATGATGCCTCTTGCTTCTCACCTGGTCGACAGGGCCATGCTCAAAACTACTGCCCTCATCTGCAACCCAGAGCCCTGATATCACTGAGCCCTGGCACTTCTATTTCTTAAAGTCCATATTAGTTGAATATTCTATTACTTGCTGACAAAAGCATTCTGGACAGATATAGTGGGATGGCATTTATAGTTTATTCTTCATGCTTCTGCTTCTCTGTATTATTTAGGCTTCCCCCAAAATACCTTCGAATCACGACTATCTGCATGTGAAACAATAGGGGATCCAGGATATAAACTATACCTAAACCAACACATCCCCCACACGTCCCTGCAGAAAGCTCTCAATGACATGAACATCCGTGATACATTCATTCAGTCAAGAGAACTGAAGTATACCCAGAGCACACCAACACTGCGGTGCCAATTGACTTTGAAAGGGTTTTGGATTTTGACACTGTGGATGATGATAATTTTCTTCTTTTTGTTTACCCTCATTTGTTACATTTTCCAAAACTGGGGGGGGGAAATATATATATATATTCCTACACTAGAGAGTAAAGTTTTTTATTTAAGTGGTTTGCATAATCTAAAAAATACTCCCATTTCTTCTCTTTGGTGAGTGCCCTAGGAAGAGTCCAGGAAGGACTCTGGACACCACGGAAGAAGGCTCCTTCTAACTAAGAACCTGCAAGCAATGCCATGTCCCAAGAGCCACTGTTCTCAGAAGAGAACAATGACAGTCTCCTCTGAAACCTCAGTCCTTCTTCTGCACCCTTCTCACACCAAGTCTTACTGTCTTGTGGTTATATCCCTTGGCAACATAGATCACATCTATGACTCTGGTAACATTTTTACTTATTTATTTTTAATTTTAGAGTTGTGGGGTACATGTGAGGACTTCCTACGTAAGCAAACTGCATGCAGGTGAGGTTTGGGCTCCCAGAGGGCCCTCTCTACTCCTGGGGGTAGACCTGGCACCTAATGGGTGGCTATGCTCCCCTTACTCTCCCTTCCTCCCTCCTTTAGCAGTGCCCAGCATTTGTTGCTCCCACCTTTATGCCCATGTGCTCAATGTTTAGAGCCCATGTAGAAGTAAAGCCATGCAGTGTTCAGTTTTTTACTTCTGTGATAGTTCACTTAGAATGATACAAAATTGCAATCTCTTTGAGTGTAAGTCCCACTCCCCAACCCAGACTAAGTAAAATGCCTTGAATACTATCAGCACTAAAATATTTGATGGTAGACAAATGACAAAAAGGGGAGGAGGTAATACAGAGAAAACAGGAGAAAAGCAGAGGGGAAGGTACACGGAGAGTAGAAGATGGAGGGGAGAGCGCAGAGGAGGAAGGAGGGAGAGAGGTAACAGTGGTGACGCAGCCATACAGTCAGTTGGCTCCGCTGAAGACAGAAGATACACACATGAGCAGTCATGACCACATGCAAGCAGCGCTGGGATACAACACATACAGGAAAAAATGGCACATCTACACTACAGCATCCCCACCAATACACAAAAGCCCGCCTCAACTTCCTCATGCCTGCTTCTTTTAGGTAGACCAATTGTCTACCTAAAGGGTAACAATCATCATGTCAACCATTGTTTTTGTCATAAACAGTATAAAATGAAAACACTAAGATCCAAGTAGCAAAATAGCCTCCAATATCTACCCATTTTTACTCAAAAGTTACTATTTTAAGGAGAATGTATGCTGTGTGTTTAATGTGCACAGATGCTTTGGTTCAAGAAGGGACTCCCTCCCTAAAACAAACAGGGCAAATCCCAAAAACAGGATGCCAAAGGTGCAGGATCCAGAGAGGGCTAGCCACGGCTGTGCCCTTCATTTGTCCTGCTACAAAAGTCAAGACAGGTCTCCAAAAGATACTGGGAATAGTAGGCTTGCTCCCTGGTTTAAGAAAGAATACAAACGTGGCCAGGCACAGTGGTTCAAGCCTGTAATCTCAGCACTTTGGGAGGCCAAGGTGAGGGGATTGCCTGAGCCCATGGGTTCGAGAACAACCTGGGCAACTTGGCAAGAACTCATCTCTACAATAAGTCAAAAAATTAGTCAGACATGATAGTACACGCCTGTAGTTCTGGCTACTTGGCAGGCTGAGGCAGAAGGATCACTGGAGCCCAGCAAGGGGATGCTGGGGTGGCCGTGAGTGTGCCACTGCACTCCAGCCGGGGCAACAGCATGAGACTCCAACTCAAAAAGAAAAGAAAAAAAAAAGAATACAAATGTACAGCCATACTCGAGGACTAAGCATTTCACTCCATAAAAGGAGACTGAGAAAAGCACTAAGGCAACAAAACACAGAATCAAGGATAGTAACATTTTCTTCAAACAGCCATAGTAAAATTTGAAACTTAAAAAGTGTCAACCTAATGAATACATCACAGCCCTTTCATAATATTTTTTAAATGCTGACGTCTCCCATTTCATCAGTTTCTTATAGAAAAAAGACAAATGTTCTATATTATACTCAATTTCAACTGAAATCTCAACTTTAAAACATGAAAACGCAATTCAAATAGAGGTAAATCTTCTATCAAAATATATTAGGAAACAAGACCCTGTTTAAAATGTCAGTTCAATGCCAGGCTCGGTGACTCAGCCTGTAATCCTGCGCCTTTGGGAGGCTGAGGTGAGTGAATTGTCTGAGCACGCAGGTTCGAGACCCACCTGAGCAGCGAGACCTCATCTCTACAATAAATCAAAAAATCAGCCAGGTGTGGTAGTGCACGCCTGTAGTTCCGGCTACTTGGAAGGCTGAGGCGGAAGGATCGCCAGAGCCCAGCAGGTCGAGGCTGCGGTGGGCAGGAGCAGCCACTGCACTCCAGTCTGGGCGACAGAGTGAGACTCCAACTCAAAAAAAAGTCAGTTCATAAAATATATGATGTTTTTCCTAACTGTTCTTAGGGCCACCTCTGTAGAAGAGTAGAATGGGCAGAGTTAGCAGAATGATGTCTGCTCATTACTCATTTGCTAAACCTTCAAGTTTTATTATCTATACACATAAAAACAATCAGCAATCATTAACTGAAAGCCAACTATACAGAAGGCAGTATGAAAGACGGTGGGATAAAAAGAAAATTTACTCTGTAGAGGCTTATAAAGTTCTTTGAAAATCTCAGGGAATTCAGGATGATTACAAGAAGAGTTAGAGTTAGGCCAGAAAATAAAGACGACTAAGTTTCTCTTCAAAAGGGAAAGGAGGGCGAGAAGAGAAGAACAGTTGCAATTCACTGGCTAAGAACTACGACACCAGAAAGACTGGACAAGAAGAGAGGTCTACTCTGCCCCTGACACGAATCAACAATTTCTTCTTTCATATAATGAGAAGGCTGGCATAACAACCACTACAACTCACAGTTACGTCAAGTCCTACTACAAGAAGACCTCTAACGTGCCTCACCATGTTCAGAGAGTCGTACTTTCCCTAGTGAAGGCATCAGCTGAGAAAGCAAGGAGGAAGAAGGACTTTGGCCAGTGTGTGAGTGTTTAGGATGAGTAAAAGAACTGCAGCACAAAGGCCCAGCCAGGCTCTGATACATCCAGAGCTACTATTCAGTTAAAAGTAAAAAGCTACACAGTAGGAAGACGTTAAAGTTGGCAAAAGCAGATGTATATTCTGCATTTAGCCCAACCGTTAACACACTGAACACAGTGAGACTTTGAGCAATTTATTTCATATTTTTGCCATGTTTACACAAGGGATAGCACAGACACCTCTACCTCCCTAGTACAGATGATATGAAGGTAAATAAGACAGTGTAAGCTGGAAGCTAATTTCTAAGGGCATTCACCACCACGGTCTTGATCAAAACTGTGTTTCTAAAAATGAGTATGTGGTACATGTTCAACATATATGTAATTAATTACTGTGAAAAATCAGTTAAAAGAATATTAAAAGATTTTATTAATAACCAAGAAAACAATCAGAAAGATAAATTGACTATTACAGACATGGGAATAACTGAGAACACCATCAGAAGAAGAGGAAAACAACCAAATAAAACAGCACAGGCTCTGACCTGATTGCTGGGGTCTAGACCAGCATAGGAATTTCTTGAACTGCAACCAACGGGGGGTGTGGCCTCTCGAATGAACTCAGACATCTCAATCCCTCCTCCAGGATCACTGTGGGGAAAAAATGAGAAAAAGAGAGAAACTGTCATTATTCTGACACCAATGCCTTTCTTTTTACTAGCTTATTATTTTTGATTATACCTTTTTACTATAAAACTAAGAGGTTCTGGTTTTTAATAGAGCAAAGAGCAAAAAAAGTGAAGTATGATCATTCTTCATTTATAAGTCTGATACTTGGACCTATTTTATAATTATATCATACTTGAAAATACTAATTGTTCCCAAGCTGTCCACATCAAATCCAACAGTAGAAACTGGCCTTAATTACAATTACAGCACACTAAATATGTTATAACATGTGCCACAAAACCACTTTTCCAAGGAAATGACTGCCTTTAGTTTCCAAGAGCAAAGAGAAACTGGTCAACTGTAAACACAGAAAGTCATCAAATGCTTCACTCACTAGTCTCTCCAAGAGATCAGTCTGATGCGTCACACAACACAATGATGAACGTGCAAAAGAACAGTCTTCCTGGACAAACTCTCTACGTGTACTTTTGAAGTAAACAGAATTTAACTGAGGTACTAACTTGTTTTGCAGAACTGGAACCTCAGATTTTAGATTTGTTTGCTGCATTAGAAGGCATAAGTTAAATGAAGTGATGCCATGTAGTAACAACACAGGAAAGGACAGAAGAGGGAAAGCACTGGGTCACAGAGCTGCAGAAGCCCACATGTGGCACTTTAAGGTGATGGGAACCCAGATTTAGGGGAAAAAACACATTAAATTTCAAAAAACTTGGAAAATGTTACATAAATGATCCTTAGGAAGACAATTCTTAGAATACCTTATAATCCCATGTTTTGCGCAAAGTTTTTTACTAATTCTACCTGGTATAAATAATACAACAGGTACTCAATACATTTTTTAAGTTATTATTATCAGGCTAAAAGTTACTGTACATGTGCTGAACATTACAGTGGATATAATGCTATCCAGTCTCCAGTTCAACCTTCTGGTTAACAAAAAAAGCAACCCAAAATTCCTCTGGTGTGTCACTTCACCCCAAACTCTCACAGGTTTTGGGTAATGTTGACCCCAACCTCAACTTAAGGGTGGGCTCTACCTGCCAAAATCAATCAGCACACCCTGTTCTTCTGGTTGCCAAGATTAGCTCTAGAATAAGCACACAACCCAATGCAGGTGAGTAATATTCAAGCCAAGAGTGTTCTTTTGTTGAGAAGACATTTCTCCCCATCTGCTGCTCTTGCAATGGAGACCTGGCGCCACCACAGTCATCCCACAGCAACGGGGGGCAAGATGACATCCCACAGCCATGGAGGGACATCCTACATGCATGGGGGGTGTCTAAGTAGCCAACCAGTGGGAAAGGGCAGAGTCTGGCCCAAGGACAGAGGCAGGGACACAAAGGAACCGCTTGACACCTATGACACCTCCCTCATATGCAGGCCTCTCAGAATTGAGCCAGAAGCTCCCCTGAGCCTGCTTGGTGGGCTACCCTGATGGCTGTAATCAAAAACCATAAGCAAAATATTCTGTGTTGGCAGGCATACCTTCCACTACAGTATTTACACTTTAGCTGTCTGAATTCTCATGTGTTTTATTATTAATGATCTCATAATGATAACATCCCTGTTTGCTTAATGGGTTCCTAACTCTAGGCCACTGACTATAAAGAAAACTAGCTTTCTAACTTACTATTCATTTATAAAAATAAGACATGTTGGAACTCGGTTACACATTTAGTTGTCAATTCCATATACACATGTCCATGTGCGAGAGATGAAGAATGTGCTCCAGTGAGTGAGCTGTCTGATTTAACCCACACAAGCTGTCCAGACCAGAATGGGAGCTGTTTCTAAATTGGAAAAGTCCAACTTCATGTGTATAGAGAAGCACTGTCACCACACTGAACTTGTGATGTAGCAGTCACAGTATTTACTTTTCTCCACTAGAACGCATCCTCTAAGTGAGAGTCACAGAAATCAGAAATCAGAGATGGAGGGCCCAGAGGAAGGAATAAGACACTCACCACCCAGAGCGGAGACAGAGTCCTCATGCTGTCTAGTTTACACAAACAAGCTCACTGGCATACGATTCACTGAACACCAGACAATTCACCCATTTGCACCGCACATCCTTTTTATAACCAAATAACATTCCACTATATAACTAGACCACATGTTCTCATCCAGTTGTCAGGGGAGGGACAATCTTGCCTACTTTTATACATCACTTCTGATGGTAAGTCCAAGTGATTACCATCTGAACATAAAGTTATTATGAATAACAAATAAAAACAAGTATTCGCTAAGTGCCCGCATATTCCAGTCATAGGAGAATGTGCTTTATTTGTATTTTCTAATGAAATCTTCCCTAAAACTCTATGACATTAAGTATTACTATTTTCCTTTTACAAATGAAAACACTGAAAACCAAAAAGTATAAAAACTTGCCTAAGGTCTCAGGAGCGTACATCATAAACTGAGTCACTGGAATCGGAGTTCGGGTGGTAGGGAGGGCCCACACTCAGAACACGACAGGACATTCTCATGTCTGCTCCTTCTGTCCTTTTCCCCACACACCTGAATGTAGGTATTCATAATCAGTATGGACTAAGGCAAGGTCTGTAAACAGGTCTGTGAATTTCTGAAGCCCTCGTTCTTTCTAAGAAAACATACAGCCTTATACCAAATAGGCACTGACATTCTTTCCAGTTCAAAACCGAAAGCAGACGCCATGATCTAAAATGGAGGTGTTTATAAACTCAGCACGACTGACCCTGTGGGCCCACCTCCTGCTGCGAATGGCATCCTGTGCACCTAGGATGGCTGGCAGCATGCCTGCCCCCTACCCACCAGAGTAAACCCAACCACACCTCCGACATCACCACATGTCCCAGGGGACAAAAATCATGCCCAGCTGAGACTAATGATCCAGAACTAAGTCAGTGGTCAACAGTGAGTAGGAAGGAACTACCAAAGAAACAGAAAAGATGAAAGAAAAAACAGCAACAGACAGCTGCTTTTATTATTATTCTAGCAAAACTTCTGTACATTTCTCTCCTCTACACATTCAGAAGTAAAACTTTCAGCCAAGCTGGGGATGTTCTAAATATAGCCAAACATATAAAGTGGCTGAGTAAGAGTTTTTCTCATTAGCAAGACTTGCAGGTTTTCAGCAGTGGAGACTTCAGCACACACCTAGAAAGCAGAGGCATTTGCAATTCCCACAGAAGCAGAGTGGTTTACTGTAGTAAGCAATACACCATACCCAGGGACTCTCTACATTTATGCTTTCATGTCCCCATCTGTTAAAAAGAAAAAAACAGGTACAAGGAAAGGCAGAAAAGCAGAAGGGGTCTAATCTGAGCTATAGAAGCAACCTCACAAACTAGGGTGCTACTTTTCAGTATCATGTCAACTGCTCATGCTCATGCTTTGATCAGCTACTTCACAACACCATGCCAGTCCTAAGTTAACAAATCTAATTAAGCTAGAGTAAAGGAAGCTCATAAAAATGTGAATAAGTAAAAACAAGTTCCAAAACAGAAGAAAATTCTCTTCAAAAGCCTAGCCTAAAATTCAGCTTCACATAGTTTAAACTGATCCTTAGTTTATAACGTAAGCATTACTGCCATGAGAAACATAGAAAATATAATCTCCAAATATTTGTCTTCAATCCTAAAATTCAGTGTCCCCTCCCGAAGCATTAGAAATGTAATACAAATACTAGTGACTTTGACTCTTTCTCTAAGGTAAAGATAATGGCATTCCTGAACTGCTGTACCATGTAAAAAAGAGACTAGTGAAAGTCACCATAAGGCTCGAGGAGTACTACCATATTCATTTCATTCACACCACAAACTGGCAGCTTTCACATACCAAGCACAGTGATCAGCTCTAGAAATACAAGTATTTATTTTCCAGTTCATTTCTTTTCCTCAGAACGGAATATGAGATTCACAAGTGAGAGAGTGAGGAAAAGGAGATGTCAAAAAAAGAAACCTACAACAGAAATTTTAATGGCAAAGTTTAAAAACATTCTCTTTAAAGATTACAAAAGGCTGGGCGTGCTGGCTCACACCTGTTATTCCAACATTTTGTGAGGCCAAGGCAGGAGGGTTGCTTGAGCCCAGGAGATTGAAACCAGGCTAGGCAACATAGTGAGACCCTGTCCTACAAAAAAATCAAAGAATTAGTCAGACATGGTGGCATGCATTTGTAGACCCAGCTACTCTGGAGGTTAAGGTGGAAGGATCACCTAAGCCCAGGAGGTTGAGGCTTCAGTGAACCATGATTGTGCCACTGCACTCCAGCCTGGGCAATAGAGTCAGACCCAACTAAAAGATAAGAAAAAGACAGGGATGTTCAACAATATTTCAATTTAATCAGGTGCTAGAAGTCATAGGCAACAAAAAAATTAAACAAACATAAGGACTAGAAAGGGAGAGATAAAACTCATCATTTAAAAAAAGTCAAGAAATAATCTACAGGTAGAAAGTATCATCATTAATAAAGGGGTTTAATAAGGTTGTTGGATACAAAGTAAACTGCTACATTTACAGAGAAAATCAGAAAATGCAATTATAAAATATTTTACAATAAGAGAAACCTTTCAATGGAAAAATGATAAAACCACTAAAAGACATTTTAAAAGACAAAATAAATGGGGAGATTCAATATCATAAAGATGTAAATTCTCAGCAGAGGGATCTACATATTCATTGCAACTCTAATAAAACTACCAAGTTCTTGCGGACTTTGTCTAGCAGACTCAAAAGCTTATACCAGAGGGGCGGGGGCAAGATGGCGACCTGGCAACCCGGTGTCTGAAGCCCTCTGCAAGGGAGATCTGCAGTGGGTCTCTGACTCTC